GGCTTCCTTGGAGGCCAAAATTACTATCAGACAGGTCACAGCTGAAGACTGGCCACATGTGATTCCCTGGTCATTCAGAATTTTATGGTTGCCAGAGGATCTGCTCTGTACATGGCCAGGGCATGAGGGCGCTGCACCCCTGTTTCCTTGTTTAAAAATAGTCCCCGAGATTCACCATAGTGGAGCACTGTATTTCATCAGTTCAAATTTATCTAGCTGTAATTCAAGTTGCAAATATGTTCTGTGTTTTTTTTGTTTTTTTTCCATCATATTTTGTTAATCACTGAGTGCACTAAGTTCAGATATTGTGTTTTTGTACAAACTAGTGATTATCGCATTTTAAACAATTTTAGTTTTTATGTGCCTTTAAATATCTTTTTTTTTTTTCTTTTCAGACATTATCCAACAAGTAAGCCAACGGCCGTGGTTGATACGCCGGAAAATTTAAGATTAAAGAAGCAGTCGGATATCATCAGCAATGTAAGTGAAGCCCTGTATCATCCCTGCAAACTAAGCTTTAAAATGGCCCATGAACATGAATATTAAATAATAGTTGCAAACTAAGCTTTGTGATTGGCTTTATGTAAATTAGTTCAATATGGCTTTGACATGGCCCATGAACATGAATATTAAATAATAGTTGCAAACTAAGCTTTGTGATTGGCTTTATGTAAATTAGTTCCAATATGGCTTTGACATGGCCCATGAGCATGAATATTAAATAATAGTTGCAATAATCAGCAATGTATGTGAAGCCCTGTATCATCCCTGCAAACTAAGCTTTGTGATTGGTTTTATGTAAATAATTTTATGTAAATTAGTAAATTAGATTTAAAATATGCCTTTAACATGGCCCATGAACACGAATATTAAATAATAGTTGCAAACTAAGCTTTGTGATTGGTTTTATGTAAATTAGTTGCAATATGGCTTTAACATGGCCCATGAACATGAATATTACCGGATTCGGCTGATACCCCGCCCATCCTAAACCCCCCGCCTATGGGCGATGTTTCAAATAGTGGGCGATGTTTTGGTCCACACATTGCCTGACTGAACCAACAAACATTTTTACAGACCCCAATTTTCCCGTCCGACATCTTGTATCGAGCGCGCTATTTCAAATATGACGCTAAAATAATTCACTGTGAAGTCGAAAAGCCTTAAAAACTTCAATAAAACCAATGCTGTATACGAATTGTTGTTGCGTATTATGACTCGTTAAAATACATTTCACTCGATTAAAGTCTACGCTTGAAAAGAATGTTATTTACGAAGTTTAAAATATCCAAGCCTTCCTGGTTCGAGCCTCTTGGTTGTTATCAGTAATGTTATCAGTTAACTCTTTGCGTTCATGGTATTTGTAAGAGTTGAAAGATTTTTTGAACACATGACAAGTAACTATATTGATTTGCGTCAAGCTGGATGGCCTGAATTTAAATATCAGTGCGTGAACTCTGGAGGTCATTGCCCAATGCCGCACGTGGTTATTATAGTTCAGTCGAAATGTACGTGAATATTGCGATCGAAGTGCGCTGTCCAGAGTTTATTATATTATAGTAAAATTTAATTTGACGCATGGTATGGTTTATATTACATGTTCAATTCATTTCAAATAAAAAAAAATCACCATTGGAACATCGATGAATCACAAGTATTTAAAATATTTTCTCGACTTTCCGTGGATACCAGACTACTATCATTTTTAATGATTTAAATGCGCCCATGTTTATGTTTGCGTAATTATTACGAATGCAACGCATTATCAAGTCGGTAATATTGAAATATTCACAGACCCAATACCCCGGGTCAGCATCCTAACAATAGTAAAAATTAACTTGAGTTTGCGTAATTATCATGAAAGCAGTACATTACAAAGTTGAAATATTCAGAGCTGGTACAAAATTGTAAACATAATTTGCGTAATTAGAAGTAAACGACGTTGATATATTCAAAGCCAGTACAGAGTTGCATACAAGTTGCGTAGTTGCTGTACCGTCGGATATAATAACAATTTTACTAGATCGACGCACGGACCACAAAAGAAAAAGGTTGCTAAGGTAACGCGCCAGTTCAGCGCGTGACTTGGGGTCAAACTTTGGTCAACACACACTTGATGGCAGCATCGCCGCGCAGCAAGTTTCGCGAAGTACTTGAAGTTCAATTGCGTATCAAAATGATGTTGCTGATCACTCAGTTGTCGCAGCGTGTGTTGTGCCATGTCCATGATGCACCCAGTTTCGACTTTGACTTGCTTTTCCTTCTTAGTGCATGTTCTTGTTCACGTAAAATGCGACCTCTCACCAGTGTATTAAAACACTTTGAATTTATACTTTGCATGATTATATTTGGTCAACGCGAAAC